ACAAGAAGTTAATCGTCATCACACACACTGTGAGACTGCCTGCTTTTCGCTGTTGGGGTGGTAAGAGCATTACTGCTCTGAAGAGTTATACAGTTAATGTTGTGACTCATGAATAAATTCCTATTATTCAGTGATCAGAAAACTACACTTTAGTTTTTGATTTTTGGAGACTTTGTGTGCCTTTGTCAATGCTGCATTCTAAATCCTGCCAATGATTTTGGAATAATTTTGGAAAAAGACAGTTCACTGTAAGAATCATCTTTTTGTTCCTTCATACTTTTTGACTACGTGCTTGAATGATGTTAGTGAGCCCAAATATAGTCTGTTCTTCACACGATGTAACTCTCCATTATTGTCCATGCTGTATTCAGTAAGGAGATGGCTTAAACAGCCCATTGTGCCAGATACTACAGAAGAAACCATGAGACATAAGGAATATGGTTTTATTAAAGCTGCTGTAGGCAGTAATGCATCTGGGAAGGATATTCTTAAACCTTACCCAGTCAATATCACCTTTTCTTGATAATCCATCTTGCATCTTTGCATGTTTTTCCTCCATTTCACCTGGGAGAGGTGTGACATTAGCTTGTCATCTAACTAGGTACCAACATCAGTGCTGTAATCACCTCCCATCACTTCACATAAGAGCAGAGGAGGAGGATGATGCTGTCTCTTCACTGTCTAGACGTGAGGAACCACAGTCCCATTTTTTAGGTGGTGCCCTCCATCTGATATAAATTCTAGTTTGATCAGAAACCTGAAAGACCTATTGAACATTGTCCTCCCTGAGACACATAAAGAAGTTTTCAACCAAACTAGTTGGTTAGATGTAGCAGGAAAGGGAGAGGATGCATTCCCATCTTCCCAAAGATGCAGGGCACGAAAGGAAGCCTCTTCTCTTGAAAATAACAAAGAGAAAGAAAGTTCTTTTGCAGAAACCTTCTTCAGCCAGTGCAGGATAGTGCTGTGGGAAAGGGAGCTGTTCTACTGGCTGCACAGGAAGGCGTCAAATGTAGATTATGCTTATGCCTTGTTCCAGCAATTTAGGCACAGAATCATCCTTTTCCCAAATTTCCTTTTTGTGATGCAGCCAAGTGCTTGCGCAGGGAAGGAAGTGCAGTCCTTGAGTATGTCCTCCTGGTAGCTCAGTTTTTGGGAAGTGGAGCTCTGGGGGAGTGGAAGGGACCCAGAAGTTAAGCTCTAATAAAATCTGGAGCATCAGGAGTTAGAAGCAGCAGGTTTGGTTTTTTTTTTAAGAAGCAAAATTGCCTTTGAAAAGCAAAAATGATTGACCAGAGTGGACTTGCACAGAAAGAGACGGTAATTCATTAGTGCCTCTTAATACAAAATAATTCTTTGGGAATTAGCATCAATGAGAGCAGAATTTTGCTCATACGGAAAACCCACTCCATGAAAATCAAGATGCAAAATGCAATATAGTGTCTGGGTGGCAGAGACGGATAGAGAGAGGGAGAGAGGGAGGAAGAGCCATTGACAGCTTAGAATTAGGCTTGTTTATCTTCAAAGAGCCCAAGACCGAGCCTCGCGTGTTTAACCTGTTCAGCGCCGGTGAGTAACGGACCTGCAGTGTGAGGTACAACAGCTTGCTCCGACAGTGCCGTGCATCCGTCACTCCAGAAAAGAGGAAAAATAGTCCCCCTAGTGTACCAACGCTGTAAGAAGCAGGATCTCTCGATTCACTGAATCTGCTGCGAGCTCTGCTATGGCGTGTGAGCAAATGCGGGAAGGTGCTGTAGTAAAACCATGGTCGCTCTTGATCACAAGGCTTCTGGTTTTTGAAGCGACGAGCCATAAATAGTGAGCATTATGTGTATTTTAGCACGTTTTAACAGCTAAGTTATTTGGTTTTGCTTTGCTGCATAACTCTAAACCTTGCTTTTCTCACCTAGGAAATACATATTCAAGAAGAACAGAGAAAGTATTATATGCAGTAATACTGTTTCCAAAAGTTCATAGCTTTGTAGCTGAAAGGTAAATTCAAGCGCATTGTTCAAAAGTCCCACTTGAATTTTTTAGTGCTTCAATTAAACAGGGAAAGTGTACTGCAGTTTTGATCAGAGAAAGAAGCAGAAAGGGAGAAAGCATTCAGTGTCCCTGCAGACCGCCACTTTTCCTGGATGCCAGAGATCCAGTGCATCGCTCACAACACAGGCTTTGTACGCCTTTGAATTTACACTCTCCCTGATTAAGTGCAACGGAGCCTCCTCCGTGTGTAAGACTTGATCATAGCCCCCCTCTCAATCAGTTTAGGTACAACAATGCCAACCGAGACCTTTGTGCTGAGTGCTGTAGTGACATATAGGAAGGCTTAGCTGCCATATATTGCTGTGGTTCCATAACCATTTTCCTCTCGGGTATGCTGTGGAAAAGGCATGGATAAATAAGTTTTAAAGGAGACCAGAAGGTCTCTGCTAGAGATGCAGCACAGCTGGTTTGGAAGCAGTATTTGTCATTCTGTCCTTCAGCAGTTTTCCTCAAGTTGGCAGCGTTAGAATGAACCTGGCCAGCTGAGTTCCCCTTTGCACCCTGCTCTCCACCCCAGCCTGCCCTGTGGCAGATTAGGGGCTACCTCACTCCCTCAACTTTGGGGCTGCTGACAGGAGAGCTAAATCACCTTCTGAGCTGCAGAGCAAGGGGATGCTTGGAAGGGGGTAGGGAGACAAGTCCTCACAGTGACTAAAGACAGTATTGGGCTGACACCTTTGGCAGATGGCTGGTGGAAGGCCCAAAGGATGAGTAGTGAATCTGAATCTGGAATGGTGTCCAGGGACCAGCTATGCAGTCTCTATAGGACCAGTTAGATTTAGCTGAGGGAAAAGGCCTCCCGCTCCACACAGAGGTAAGGGCTGCTCCAGAGGTAGCAGAGGGGACTCTTATTATTCAGGTTAACAGTAATGCCAGGACTTAGTCAGAGGCATTAGCTGCAGGAATGGTTTCATGTTTTACAGAGTAGATTGGCATTTCCTGGAAGTGTAGGTTAATTGTGGTAAGAAAGAGAGGCAGCAGATAATCACACTTTGAGAGCAGTATTTGCCTACAGTGTGTCTGCTTTCCTGGAGGCAGCCAAGGCAATCTCCTCTACTCCCCCCACCTTCCCCCCTCATTTACCAGTTGTATTTTGGATTGCTTGTGATAATATGGATGTTGATTATGGCCTTCACAACATTGCCTGGATTTTCCATAGAATCGTCCTGAGGGATGAGACCGCAGCAAATTCTCAGCTGACCAAAAGGCAGCTCAGTGTATTAGTTCAGTGTATTTTCTTTCATGAGTAAGAAGCAGATGAGATTTCAGCACAAATGGTGCATTTCAATTACATTTCTAAGTGAAATGCAGAGCAGATGTTAAAAGCACCATTTTAAGCAGTCCTGCCTCATCCCAGAGGCAACGTTTCAGTGTTAATATTGTCTATCTGCAAGTCCTTGATTTGAAAAAACTTTTTAAGCAAAAATACCTCATTGGCCTAGGAGCACTTCTGGGTCCCTGTGCATGATTGTGAATTCTTTTCTTGTTTCTGATATTTGGAACACGTTCCGAAACTTCCTTAACCTTTTTCTTAGCAATTAAAAAAACAATATTATAAAACCTGGAAAAATGCAAAGTAAATTTGCTGTTCCCTGCCCATCTCACTCCACTCAACATAAACTCTTTCCATCCAATACGTGCATGCTTATACCCATACCCATACACATGCACATATATTCTTTCATGATCCAAACACTCCTGGATGTTGGATCTTAAAATTATGCTGTAGGAAATATTAGACTGGCAAATGCTGTGCCTACAATTGGAATATTGTTAATATTCTCACACTTCTTTGGCTATCACATGCTAAGATCAATATTATCAATACCTTTAAAAAAGAGATAATAACTTCAAGGTATTGTCAGAAACTTACTGAGAATGGAAAGGGTGCATTATATTGCGCTTAGAGACTAGGCTGCTTTTTTTCCCTGCACTTTTGCTTCTGACAGTCTTTGAAAAGCCAGTTATTTGCACTGGTAACAGAAATGCAATTTTAGGAGGGCAGAAAGATGCCCTAATATTTATATGAAGCTGTAATACAGACAAAATTATATGGGCTGTTATTCTACTATATTGCCAGCAGACTGTATTGATCTTCGAAGGGTTAAAGTGCTACCGGGTTACATTAATGTCACCCTTCAGCAATCACTGGCCAATAACGTATCAGCAATCAATGCTGCAGCGTGTTGTTCACGACACTCAGGTTTTGGAGACAAGTGGCTGATGTATTTTGACAAGAAGAAACAATAGTCTTAGGAATTCTTGCAAATCTTAACTCAGAGGGGAAGATATATGAAACAAACTGCTTCCATTAGAAAAAATGGTAATGTTTGCCTTCATAAGTAACAACATTTTATGTCAGTTCAGTGGAGCAGTGAATGAACCAAAACTCTGCTAACCTTCAAAATGGAAAGGATTCCGTAAGTAGGATTTACATAGTCTGAATATTTTATATTTTGAGTGCTCATAACAGCTTGCATAAACTAATACTTATATGTATATTTCCAATAAAGAAAACATTTGACTCGTGGTGGAGTAAAGCAGCAAGGCACATTTTTGGCTCGTGAGCACAGACACAGGTTTCTCAGCCTCTGCTCCTGTTTTTCCCTGCTAGTAATTTTCTTCTCTCAAGTTCTCATAATTTGTGCACGTCCAAAGAAGGCAATACGAGCCTCTGCATTTTGACACAAAAGAGACTTAAAGAGAAAAAAAAAAATCAGGCACTTGAATGGCTCTAAAGTAGAAGTACAAAGGGGGGAATAAAAGTCAGAGGCTGCAGGAGGACGCAAGGGGTTAAAGTTCTGACCACTGTCTGCATGTATAAAATTATATCACCTTATCTGAAAAGTTTAGGCTCAGAAGAAAAGCCTCAGTTTAAAACACCTTTTAGGTTTATTAAATCTTTAGGTTGAAGATTACAGCAAGTGTTTTGTCTTTGGTGAGTAGCTGTTTGTCTCACTTTATTTACTTGGTATTGGGTATTTGTCAATGTCATTTCATATCTGCAGAAAATTCATACATTCTATGGAAGTATGTATGTGTGTGAGTGTGCTGAAGGTCACATGACTGTTTCATCCTATTTGGTGGAGCAGCTTGACTTTTTTTTCCTTGCTTTTGGTGATGGTTGTGAGTGCAGAAGTTGATTGACAGATGCATGCCAGAAACCCCCATTCTCCTTTTCAAAGACTACATATGATGGATTGCGATCTTTCAGCTCAGCAGGACACAGGGACCATGCAAGCTGTAATTGGTCAGGTATGGAGTCAGCCATTTCTCAACTCCCCTTTTATTTTTTTTTTTTTTCCACAAGGGTCTAACCATATGATTCACATAATTCATATTTACAGTACCATCTTTCTATCTGTATCTTCAGCTACCAGCGAGTGTAGGACTGAAAGTGAGAAAGGCAAAAGAACCACAATAATCTGGCCAGGGAATCACTAGTTAAGCCTAAAACACCGTGCTTTTCTCCTAATAAACCTGGGTTATAATTTAGTCTGAGCTTTGCCAAATCTAGCTATTTATTAATTTGCTGTTGTATTTTGTTTAAATGTGCTAAAGTAGAAGAAGCGAGGAGTGCAAGTGTTATGTTGTTGGGGAGTTGCTTTCTATTTCTAATGCTGTTCATTATTTCTATATTGACTGTATTCCTGCACTACAGGCTGTGGATTTTATATATTTTTTTTCTCTTTTCCTTTTTCTTTTTTCTTCTTTTACTCCTAACCCAGATAATGTGTGATTGAGCTTGGTAAATGTAGTAGTCTTTGCTGCTGCAGAGGGACAGCCTGCAAATTAAACACTGCCACAATCTGAAAGGTCCAGGTGGTCTGCTCGTGCTTCCTAATGCAATCCAGCACAACAGCTTTAATAAACAGCTCTATTTAGTTCTCCCTCCCTGTATCCAGGGAAGTGAACTGGTCTGGGGCTGCTGTGATGAAATGCCAGAAGAATATCTCTCAAAGGCCTCACAAGCTGATTTTTAGAGCTTTTCCGTTTTGTCGTCTTTGTCTTCCAAATGGGTCAGTGAGTCCTTCTCTTTCTGTTTTGTGATTTCTGATAAGTCTGTAGTTTTTATGTGTGTGTGTGTTAACCGTGCCGTTTCCAGCTTTAGCCAGAAGAGAGAAGAATCATTGCCTTTTCAATTAGCTTTCAAATAATAACCTGAAGTGGGGAAAGAAATGAAATTATTTCTGTCCTGCTGTACAGGGAGGGCTGTTTTCCTGTGCATGCAGCCGGAGTGAGAGGAGGGTGCCTGCCTTTCTTTCTCTAACACAATTTTAAGTGCTCAACACTTTCTCATTAACCACTGACTTGTAAATCAGTCTCTGGCAAAGGGTATTTTTTGAACTCTCAAAAGTTCGTGGGTTTGGGTTTTTTTTTGCATATGTTTCCAGTGTAGTGAACGCATGCTGCTGAGGTGATGACATAGTATTTGTGTTTCCTATATGTTGATACAATGGTGGAAAAATACGCATCCTACGCACTGTTTTCAACTAAATTATGGCAAAGCACAGAAGTCCCTCAAAGCACATGGTTTATTAATACCATCGTACACAGTAATGCATTTCTGGGCGGAAAATGTCAAATATGTAATACCATGTTTACCACAGACTTTTATTGCTTTAAATATTTTAAAAATAGAAGATACATTTTTTATTAAAAATCCCCCAAAACATTAACAGCTTTCTATTAGGCTGCTTCTACCGAAGAAGTGGGGCATGTTTGCCAGGATCACCCTCTGTGAAAATATGTATTTTAGAGCGGGTTAATTACCTTTTGTCTAAACTTGTGCAGTCTTAGGGAAATCTATTTAATGCTTCTAAGGCAGATACAATGGCAAGATCTTCAGCAAGTACACTTGACAGAAAACATACCCTGAAACCTTGATAAATCTCAAAGCCTGTAATATCTCTTTTTTGTAACTTTTGCTTTGGCATAAAAAAAGTGTAAGTTAGCTATTTTATATTTAAAGCTTGCTGGCTCTCGGAAAGTGCTTTTGAGGCTGGAAAGGGTAGGAGCTTGTGTTTTTTTCTGTGTGTAACATTCCATATTTCATCAATTAAAAAAAAGTTCAGTGCATGTCTGGAAAACTGTTTATATCGTGTGTTAGTTTATTTCATTTCCTAAAATCAGTAAAAGGGCATGGACTTCAAAGAAAAATGCATTTAGCTATTTTAGGTGACTCACTTCTTTGGGGTTTTAATGGCAGTATTTATGGATATTATTATCGTGCAAGTTAAGGTGTCAGGTGTTGCAAACATTTCTTTTTGGATCTCTGCATGTGCTTATTTGTATATCATACGTGTAAGTGTGCGCATCCAAATGTGCTCATAAATCCATAGCATTTTCAAGTATGTTTTTGTTGTGATTCATTGTCCAGTGGTTGGTTGTTATTAGCTACATGTGAAGCTAGAACAGAAAGTTTAAAAATACTTTTTTTGGATAAAAATGATGTGATTTCTAGTTGTAGAATAAAAGAGTTTAGTTAAAACTTGGGAAGCACAGAGCAATCAATGTAATTACCATACTGCTGAAAATAGAAATAGACTTCTCTATGGACTCTAATACTCAGCTGACAAGAGAAAATAACTATCAAAAGGCAAACCCGATGCCGTAAAATCTTTCCACAGTGTCAGACTATATTTAGGATTGATAAATAATGAAGATTTGCATATTTGGCATTTGTAGTTTTTTAGAAGAAACATTCATTTCCTGACACTTCTGTTTTCGAAAAAGTTCTGGAGAGTCTTTGTTAACTTTCAACCCTCCAAAATCAGAAACTAAAATAAATGTTTATCATTTGTTTTTTTTATTTTATTTCAGAATTGCCTTTTTTTTTCAACTGTGAGAATTAAATTTTGTTTTGACTAATCCTGCAGATGTAGCTTTAAATTCAGGCTTGTTTGCTACTAATAGAGTGTGAGCTTGCCTAATTAAAACCCCAAACTATACATGTATATCTCTGCTCCAATGGAGATCAGAAACACTAGCAGTTATTTGTAGTTCAAACACTGGTCTGTGTATGACACGAAAGTAATAGCAGGAGCATGCTGATTTAAAGGCATTTTCAACAGCAAGTACTTTTACATCATTAAATGCATTTTCCACTTTCTTTTTTATGTATTTCATCTGTCTCTAAGCACCAGTGTCCACAGTGGCTCCCACCGGTGATAGCAATGGTAGGCAGAGCACTACAATCCTGACCATTACCTAGCACCTGGGTGTACTGGCTCCAAGATGCAGAATTGCTTGTATACCTTCCCTCTGGATTTTTCCTCCCCCAAGCAAGCAATAAAACAGCCAAGTACTCTGAAGAACAACCTCCTTGCCTGGCGTGTCAAGATCTAGAAGCTCATTGCTCATTGTGATTTTGATTCATAACTGGAGTGTTTGGAATGAAACCCCGATCCCTGTCAGCAATAGCCTGTAACATCCTTCCTTGCACACTGAACCATAATACCTGTTATTTCTTTACATGTGTTTTGCTCTTAGAGAAACTATTAGCTGGATTTTTATGCCCTATTCTCTACATATCCTGAGCCCATCTAAATGCATAGGTAATTAAATGCATCATGTAATTATTCCAGTTGTGCTATATTTTCTCTCCCTTATGTGCTTTCTGAATCTGTACTGTACCTTTCTCTTCTTTTTTTCTGTTCATTTTTACCCCTTTTTTTTTCCTCCCCTTTTTTATTTTTTTCCAGACCTGAGCTTGTGAGTGACAGGTTAGTTCATCAGCATTACAGCCCTCCTGTTTTTGTCTCATCTCATGCAGACAGGTCACTGTGTCCAATCACCCTTCTGGCTCTGCTATCCCCAGGGGAGCCCAGGCCAGCCTGCCATCTTGATCCACCGGCCTGAGGGCCCAGGCTGGCTGCACATTTCTGTGTTCACTGGTTCTTGCAAATATAGGAAAACGGGAAGGGGAGGGGGGCTTCTTAAATTAGAGCTGTGTAAACTGAGAGGAAGTAAATTAGGTAACATTCTTCTTCAAATAAGCAGGCATTTGCAGTCATTATTGCTATGTTTGAGTTCTCCTTCCACATGTTAACCGTGTTTATTTTCTATATTTCAATGGTATCCTGCATGTGATCTCATCATCTAGTAAAAGCTATTTATGCAAGGGTAAACATGCGCTCCTTTCCCATAGAGAGTTCTGCCCTGCAGCCCCATTTAGGAAACTCACACATTGCTGCAGCCAAGGTGGGTCTTCATGTTCTGCTGTTTAGTTTGTGGCTTTCTTAGATTTGTGTTCTTCCCCGCGATTAACAGCAATAGGGGATAAATGGGAGAAGCCATTCATTTCTGTAACTCATGGGACACTTTTCTGAAGTTTGATCTGTGGTGAGAGCTGTTTTGTAATGCAGATCAATACATATCCATGAATTTAGTTTTTACCAAAGGAAGATCAGATCTATTATTTTCATTTGTCTTGAGCAATCTTTAAGGGATCCTTCTTGTAGTAGTAGGGCATATTTCTTTCTCTTGGCATACCCTTTGCCATCTCTAATCTAATATACAAAAGTGCCTATATCATATGCAAACAGAAATGAACCATATTACCCATACATTTAAGACTTACTTTTACAATACATCAGGGAATTGTGCCCATCTGTGCACAGTTTGGGGCAAATCCTGTTCTCTCTAGCAAGAATTAGACCCTTCACTGTAAGCATGACTACTTGCATAGGTAAGGTCAGACTGCTTGTTCCCTTCTCTGCTTAGTATATGTCCAGCACAGGCATTGTTGTCCTTTACAGTCATCAGCAGTTGTTTTCAGCAGTTCAAGATTGTGAGAGATTCTTATGGACAGGTACACACCAACTGTTGTTTTCAGTAGTAGAGAGACAATGTAAACAGTAAGAATCATGTTTGAAAAACTTCAAACCCATACTTTTTAATATTTATGAACAAGCTGCTACTCTGATAATGAAGCATTCCATCTCTGCACAAACCCACTGTTTTATATGCTCCTAGTATACTGTGTCCTTAAAAATCATTATTGTAAGGAGATGCAGGAATGTGGCTGTAATATTTCACAGTATAAATATTTGTCGTAGAGGAGTTTGGATCTCGATAATTTAATATATGTAAATTCTTTGGTCCTAGGCCTGGATTCCAGCAAAAGAATGCATTTTTCTGTTGACTTTTGCTTTTACAGCAGAAAAAAATGGATTTTTACCATTTTCATTCATGCTGTAAAAGATTTCTCTTGTCTTCACACCAAAATCAGGTTCTACTTGAAATCAGCACTCCAAAAACATCTTTAGTAATTTTTTTCTTATTGAATTTCTTTATTCTTTTCCATTCTGTGCTGTTCTGCTGTCTCATGCGTTAGTTTGTGGGTCAGGCCAGTTAGGAGGTCAGATCTTTAAAAAGCTGTTATTTATACTCTGTATATTCACTATTATTCTAATTGTAAGAGAAAAATGATGTATGTCAGATGACCTTTAAATTGCTGGGCAAGTGACACTCATCCTGTGATGTAGATTTTTATCTTTTGGCAATGCATTTACATTCAAGTACCTCTCCTGTCTTTCCTAGATTCTAGACTGATAAACTAAATACCAATCTGGGCCACTTTTGTATGTACAGTACATAGAAGTGACTGCGCTGAGTCTCTTATCTTACACTGACCTGTAGCTCTAACAAGACTTTTATTTTTCTTCTCTGATCTGAACTGCAACTAAAATGGAAGAAAATAAAAGGACAATTGAAGACAAATTGTATATAGCGTTTTCATTATTAGATGAGGACATGGCAAGGTATTATTTTTGTCCTGTGATTTACATCTCTTCAGTAGCATTTGCTTGTAATGCTGCTTCTTACCCTGACACTATAAAAATGGTAGGAAGAACCTCAGATCAGTCAGTTCTGAATATATAATGAGAGATATGTTTATCTCTCATTAAAATTAACAGGACCTAAAGGTGTGCTTAAAAGTTGGTCAGCAAATCACTTAAGCCTGTGGAAGAAGTCTGCAACTGCTGAATCTTTAGGTGCATAGTACAATACTGAACTCAATGGGGTTCTTCACCTAAATAACACTTTGCAGGATCTGGTCCTACTTGCCTATTGAGTAACTGTCATTGCTAATAACCATAACAAAGTCTGGTTTAAATGCTAGCTAAAGAATTGCTATGCAAACTTTTTTCATAATTAGAAATGACTATTAGGATTAAAGATAGTAACTCAAGGCTCTTGAGTGCTTTTATTCTTCGAGGCTGTCAGGGCTACAGGTAAATGGACTATAGCTTCGGGGTTTTTGTTTCATCATTGGCTTTGAAACCTCTGTGATATGTAGGACTGTTTCTTCAAAAGAGAAAGATTAGTTGTTGATATTTGCTGCTGATTCTCTGTTGACTGTTAGTGCTGTTCCATAGGAGAGCGTCATCTAACTGTTAGATCAAAAGAAAATGTTGAAGATCAAGAGGCAGTTCTAAATTTTGAGCCATTTTCAAAAGTGGGAGTGGAAGCAAGTTTACAAAAAAAAACAAGAGGAGAAAGGGGGGACCCAAAAGTCTTTATCCCAAGCCACTCTTCCATGGGGAATGATATAAATTTTCTTAAGCTGTTTAGATTAGATCTTGTAGTTACTAATAGGCCTGTTTTTTATAAGAGTGGTGCAATTTGTACACACCTTACAGTAATATAGCAAAACTACGTCCAGTACACTATTATGCATAGTCTTCCATCTGCTCACATGGTAATTGATGTCACTAACATTGGTTCACATACTTACAGTTGAAGAGTGTGTTTCAGAGATGAGAGCTTCACAAACTGATCTTGCTCTCTGGTGTCCCGCACAGCTGTCCAATGCCCTTTGCTCATGGGAATAGGGATTTGGAAGGTAGGAAACTGAGAGCTGTTCTTGTCAAAACAGATAAGTCTTGTCTTGATGGGTTTTCTTGTACCACCTTGCTGCAAAAGAAATCCAATAATTTGATAAGCACTGCTGCAAAATCTTACTTGCAATAGTAACTTTTGATCCTGTGATACTTCCAGTGAGTGTTACCTCAGTTACTTGCTAAGTGTGATCTGTTCCTATAGGTAACTCTAGGATAGGGCTCTGAATCCACAGATGGGGAAAGACACCGTAAAGAGAAGCAAGACTGTAAGCAAAAGGAAAAACCCCAAAGTCAGAAAGGAACTTTATGCTACTTCAGTCACTGATTCCTTGAAACAATTTTTATTTTAGAAGTTTCTATCATTTTCAAGGATCTCAGACTTGCATGTGTTTAGAAGACACGATCCAGCTGTGTAATGGCACTTCTAAAAAGGAAATAATATAAGGGCAACAGTAAAAGACAAAAGTGTTTTTTTAGTCACCCCCTGCTATGGAAACAAGAGCTTCAAGCAATAGAAAATAACAGAGCACGGGGTTTTTACGAGCAGATTAGTGAAATCCATGTTAATAATATGACACAACAGCTGCTGTTAGACATATTGTGAGAAATAATTCTGTATCAGCACCTTGTCCTTTTCTCTAAACTGTTTACATCTCTGACTGCTTTTCCACTTAGTGAGCCAAGTTGGGAAGATATAACCAGGCTTTTACTCGAGCTTTGCTCATGTTTCATGTGCAGTGAAGTATGGAGGAGTTTTACCAGCATAAAAAGTCTGTGGGGTTGTTTTGTTGTTGGTTGGGTTTTTTTTTTGTGGTTTGTTTTTTTTAATTCTATTTTTATTTTCCAAAAGCTGGGGGCTTTAGCCCATCTCTAGAAGTCATCTTTTGGAAGGAAGGTGGGAAATAAATAATAATGATAAAAATTGCTGCATAGACTAAGACTAAAGCAACAATATTAATTACTAAATTTTTGTACTCATTGATTTTTTTAATTTATTACAATAGGAAACTGTTCCTGATCATTATTGAATCCACCTTTGAAAATAAAAAAGGGCTAAAGATGCAAATAACTCTGGTAATATTTAAGTCTGACAGTTGGGAGGTACTATCATGGTGGCTGTAGCTATGGGTACTGGAACCAGATGCTGCCAAGTGCTGAATGCTTCCAGAGTCCTTGACTTCCCTCTGGCTTTGTTAGGCAGGACTCTGTTCCAGCAAGACCTGAATGTTTTCAGGTTTTTTTGAAGGCAGGATTAGGCTGTGAAGCACATGAGAAATCTTTCATTTGTTGGGTTTTTTTTTTGTTCTTCCTACTCAGACATTGTTAATGAAGGGAAAATGGAAAGGTTCTGTTTAAAGTGAAATAAAATAGTCTGGAATAAAGCAGCATAAAGCGGCTCTAGGAAACAAACAGCTACTGCAGGATTCCTGGCCGTAGGTCTTACCTTCCCTTCACTGTGCCCATCCCTTTCTGCGTACAAAATGTGCTTCACATTCTTCAAATGGCTTATACAAAGCAGAAATAATGTCTGCAAACAAGAAGCTCCCCCTCTTTTGAAGGAAAGGTTAAGAGTTGTGGCAATGTAAAAGTGGCTTCTAATGTGGAAGAATAAAGCAGAGAACATCAAACTCATTTCACTTAGCGTCAGTCACGATGATTTATCATTATAGTCAGGGTAAACTGTGATCTCGGAGCTGAAACAATTTTGGCCATTAAGAGGGAAAAAAACAACCCCCAAAAACAGAATGTTCCAGCTTGGTTCTTATATCCTTAGGGTTGCAATATTGAATTCGGAATTGGGGAAGCTTAATCTTGCAGCCAGATTTGACAAGATGCTGGTTGAACAGTAGGCAGAAGTGATGGTTTGTGCGCTGTAATGCCTGTGGTGGGAAATAAAGGAAGATAAGAAGATTTTTCCAGAAGCCTGTATGCAGTATTCACCACCTGCTCCAGCTCCCCACCAAAGTAGGCAAAATCTGTGCGCGTGAATTGGTGAGCAAAGCTCACAACTTCAAAGACTGACAGAGGACAAACTGGAGTGCTGTAAAACAGCAATGTGAGGGTTTGTAGTGGCTCTGAACACAGTTATCCTTTTGTTTGTTTGTTTCAGTGCTATTGCTTATTTGAAGGGTGATCATGAAACCATTTAGCACATCCACAGATAACCCTACAGACTTATCAGGGAAGATCACATGAGCACTGCATTGTGAATTAGACTATGCAGTAGAAAAGGCTTGGATCTCAATTGGCTGTAATGGGATACGGACATGTACAGCTATAAAAGATAATCCAGTTCCTCAACTCCAATCAGTTAATCCTGGAGAGTAGGATTCAGGGTGGGGTGGGGTGTGTGTCTGTAGGCAAAAACTTGGAGGCTACATCTGAAGTCTTGGAGAGGTGAGCAATGGACTCATTAGTAGGTGTTTGGAAAATAAGGCCTGGATTTTGAATAGTCAAACAAGAACAAGAAGATGCTGAAGGCTGGAGTTTATTCCCCTGAATATACTGGTTTCTGTTTATTTTTTTGAAGTTCATGCTGGATTCTTAGCAAGAGGAGAAATGAGGGTTGCCCCCTAACTAGGGACTCAGAGTGGCTCTGTAAAGAATTTTAACCCAAGAGGCACTGTGGGTACACAGCAAACCTTTGTTCTATTCTGCTCATGTCTTTATGCTAGACCCATCACTGTAGTTATTAGATCTCAAAGATTACATTCCTTGATCTAGCGCTTTCTAAATCCTTAAACCACAGTTTATTTATTTAAAAGGTTATACCCAGCATTGGATTGGATTGTAAAGTACCCTTTGACTCTTTCATGAAGGACACAGTAGAAACACATGCTGCAGAAAGAGTCTTTCCTTCTGACCACGAAGTACCACAGCGTTTTATTGAATTAAGAACTGCACAAGGACCTGTGCTTTTCATCTGGCCAGTGTGTTGAGATTTTTTTTTACCTCATCGGTATCATGCTGTCATTCATTTCTGATACAAGAGACATTTATTAAAGGTACAGAGGTGAATTTCAGTTACTCTCTAAATTAAAAAAAATGCCAGAGTAGCCCCATGTTTCCCTAAGAAAATAAAAACACACTAAACCTCAGACAGATGTTAAACATGAGTTTGTTCAGGAGCTATTCTTGGTGTCTCTTCTTGATCTGATATTTACCGGGAGTTATCACAGTTAACTCTGTGGAGCTAAACAGTTACATTTGAGTAAACATGGTCACCAGAAGGTTTTAAGCTTGTTCCATCAGAATCAGAAGCCCTTACATGAGCAAATTTACCAGTGTAGTCTACAATGCTTGATTAATTATGAAGAGTGCGGTATGACTCTCAAGCTAATCAGCAAGAAGGCACAGAAAGCAAAAGAGGACACTAAAATTGAGCCCAATGTGCTGCATCCTGACTGATATTAATTATACTCTATGCAAACTGGTGTCTTTTTTTTCCCCCAAACACTCTTGTAAAGCAAACTGTAAAAATTCTCATGTAATTTCCCTCAGTTCTGGAGAAACCAAGACTGAAATTGGCGCCTGAAAAGAGAAAACTTATTAAAAATAGCTATTATTGTTTCATTTTTAAATGCTTGTGTTTGGTCATTGCTCTTTTTCAAGAAGCTTAGCCCCTGGAGATAGTAGCCTCATTCTGCTTTATACTGAGACCCCTTTATACCATCTGGTAGCACAAACCAGCTGTAAAGTGAGTGTAAGAGTAATTTATTTGTGTCTACTTCAAAGCTCTTTTATTTTTCCAGAACGGTGGAAAACCACCACAGTGTAAATGGGAATCAGGCTCAAATAGATGGACTATGGATTGGAATTTCCATTTTTCCAGATGGAAATGAAAAAGACAGAGGCAGAAATCAGACTGGGGGAAGAGAAGGACTAAGCCTTATTTAGCTATAAACAGGCATTTGTTAACATCCATTCTGAACTGAAAAACAGATATGATAAAAGGGCTAAATCCTGTTGTAGGGGCCACCATCCCTACCTTTGCTAGCAGTAATGAAAACCTGAAAGGGAGGGAAGTGAGCATGAGTCAGGCCACAATAGTCAGTATCTGACAACACAATCAAAACAAAGTAGAGGAATTAATGTCAGTTAAATTCCTTCCTTCTATACTTTATCACGTCAGATGAATTCTTCAACTCCAAGCCAAAGGGTGAATAAAAACAGCAAAGAGAGAAGAAACAAAGCAAAGAATGACAGTTAGGCCTCATGGGAAACATCCTGAAATTTAGTCAGACATGGGAAAAAAATATTAAAATAGCATTTTGGGGGTTGACCCAAGAGTTCTCATTGAGATTTTGCGAAGCTTCTTACTCCATTTTATTTTGTAATACCTTTAAACAGGCACATAGGAGGTTTAGGGGATTCTGTGAAGGTTGTGAGATATTTCTCACTCTGCTTCCCCATTTTGTGAGAGCCCAAGAGAAAAACACTGGTGGTGCTTGTGGAACTTTCTGTAATTGAAGTAGCCCAGTATTTCCTACCTTAACACCTTTGCTACTGCTGGTGTTAGCATTTCCACCTGGTGGCTATCTCTTCCTGGGTATTTTGTAAGACTATTTCAGCTAAAATACTTCAGTGGTTCCCAAGGAGGATAGGGAAATAAGGGAAAGCATTGCCCATTTTAAAGTCACCCTGTGTTTAAGAGGAAAACTCTGAATTTGGTGAGGAGTAGGAGGGTTGTATCTGAGATGTCTCTTCTGGTATCCTGTGACAACCCACTCATGTTTGATGATGTTCTAAGCCTTTGAGAAATGTAGCTGGCACATGTTTACTTGGCAACTCTAAACAGCTACATCCTCTAAAGCTTCACAGAAAAGGAAGGTGTGAAAGGAGCCTCAGAAAGTCATCTGCACAGAGACAGAAGCAGCTTATCCGAGTTACATCTGACAGGCATTTGTCTAAGTGCTTCCTGAAAAAATTCAGCAGCACTACTTCCACAGTATCCTTGTGCTGTTTATTGAATTTAACTATCCCTGACTTAGCATCCACTGTTGGAAACTTTCCTTGTGACAACCTTTCTTGCTCCAAGTTAGACCTGTATTTTCTTCCCTCCTTTAGGG